TGAAAAAAGAATAGTTAGGAAGGATCTGATTGAGGTGTTTAAGATTGTAAAGAAAATTTATAGTGTTGATGCATCTATCTTTTTTTTTTATATATATATTTAACAATGATAATAGCAGGACTAGGGGCCACAAATATATAAATTTTGGCAAGGTAAGAGTCATCTTCAGCTAAAACAGTTTCATTTTTCTAACAGGGTGGTTGGCCTTTGGAATGGGTTGCCTTCAGATGTAGAGGCAGTAAATTCATGGGAGTTTAAGAAAAAGCTTGATAAGTATATGTATGAAAAAGGCTGGCTTCAAGAGTTTTTGCATTATTTTTTTAATCATTTTAATTTAGTTTAGAGGATGGAACAGCCCAGATGGACCAATAGGTCCCATGTTGTCCCAAAATGTTATGTTATATTAAAAGCTCATCCTTAGGGTATTGTCTCCTTGGTGTATTAACAGCTGTTTATTCATCCTGGTCTTATCTGTAATGGCATATTTCCAAAATCTATTGCAGTTCTCTCTTTCTGGTATCCTCTAGGAGGAGTTTTTATTCCATACTGGCCTTTTGTCTACCATTGTTAGTAATATGTTCTTTCAAATTACACGGAAAACACATATTGTATTGTGGATTACTTCATCCATTCTGTATAATCAGAAGTCTAGCCAATCCTTTTAGTTCTTCCAGACTATCATCAGTGGGAGTTGATGTTTCGGTTGTACTTGATCTGACAATCCTCTAACTTAACTTACATGTTACTATGACCTGTTGTAAACATTTGTAGGCCTAAGTTAACAAATTTTCAATGGAAATACCTCACTAATTGTACTACAACTAATATCCAAATCAACTTACTTATCCAATTTTACAGTTAAATATGATATGGTAACTGAATATATGCAATAACTAACACTGATCCAATGCTTAATTGATTTTTGCATTTATAACTAATGTGTCAATTTTAGATATTCATCTAAATTACTATATTTTTATCACATCACCTAGAACATTTTATGTAGTCTAGGACTACACTTATAAATATTTCACTTTTAACACCACACACCCTCTAGTTAAGATTAAAATTTTGAAAATATAGTTTAAAACAATTAATTGCTGGAAGGCCTAACATCACAAATAATGTTTAAAATGAAATTTATAAAAGTAGCTCACATTCTGAACAGACTTTTCAACAGTAATAGCCTGTTTCTATAAATGTTTTAATAGCATTCCTTTCAACATAATTTTTAAGAATTAACAGCCTGTCTCTACAATCTTTATATTGGTTGAAATAGAAAAGAAATACTTTTCAGATTTTTTCTTCATTGCTAAACACTCAAATGTAGACTATTTTTATTTATCTCTCACATAAAATGGAAAAGTTGTCTGAGAAGATACTGAAATCATTATTATAAATAATAACAGCAAAGGCCCAAAATTAACCCTATTAGTCACATTCTCCCCATCAGGTTAACTTTAACATATCACACAACTAACCTAAGCTTTACTACAAAATACATATCAATTTATAGTCTGGTATATTACAATAGGCATGCTGAAAGTCAAGATACACAGTAACATTACAGACATCCTCATTCTACATGCCGAAAGTAACAGTTATGGACTTGGACAGGCTATATGCCACAGACTTGGACATGCTACATGCCGAAAGTAACTGTTACGGACTTGGATAGGATACATGTTGGAAGTAACTGTTAGGGACTTGGATAGCTTAGGTATTGGAAGTTCTTCATTACTAGACTGCTAAAATTCCTGACATTTAGATTAAAAAAAAATACAAATTTAGATAACCTTGGCGAATAAACATGCAAGGTTTTCAAAGTTAGATATTCATAATTTCAATAGCTACATAACTTTTCTTAGTTTACATATTTATAACTTAATGTTTAGCTTACTCTTAATTTGATGAACAATGAAAAAACCTCTAATGAACACTATTTATTCATCTATACCACTGTTCAGTATTCTAAAAGCAATTATGAAGAAATAACAATGTTAATCATGGTTATACTGGTAGTAAATGTAGACGATCTCATATATGCAAGTTTCAAACTTATCCTTACCACTGAAATCATCATGCAGCTTAATTCTCTAAAATCAGCCCTGAAAAAGGATTCAATTACCAGAAATTTTAGAAAAAAAAAGTGACATACAAAGTACTAAGTGCTAGTTACACACTCTACACAAGAACAGCTCTGTGATACATATATAAAACACTAAACTACATGCACATTTTTCACTTTATCTAAATGAACTAGTAGTTTTAACACTACTAAAACAATAACAAAAACAATACGAAATAAATGTACCCAAAGTAAACAAAGCCTTACAAAAATAAAGACATAAAATAGAAAACAAAATTAACAACGTCTTAGAGTAATTGTAAAGCAAAATGTAACTTAATATTTAACAAATTTAAACATGAACAATTAAAAACATAAAAGAACTATGAATTTAAATTTTAATACTGATATAGATGATGGTATGTGTGTGTGTGTGTGTCTTGTCAGATGCTTCATGAAAATCCAAAAACATCAAAAACACACACACATACATTCCATATAAAAGGCTTGTTATAAAATTATCTCTGTAGGTGTAGAGGATAGGTTGGTTCACTGGATAAAAAATTAACTGAATGGAAGAAAGCAAATGGTTGTTATAAATGGAGTTCAGTCAAGCTGGATTAATGACATGAGTGAGGTGCTTCAGGGTTTAATGTAAAGGCCTTTGATTTTTGTGATTTACATTAATGGCATAGATTGTTAATAAATTATTTAAAGTTGCTGAAGATATTAAGGTTTTGGATGTTGCTGGCTGTGAGAAGGATGCTGCTACTTTACAAAACAATTTTGATTATTTGGCAAGTTGATGTGAATAAATGGTAGATAGGTTTTAATTATAAATGCAAGGTAATGCATGTGGGATATCATAATTTGAATTATGAGTATAATTTTGATAAAAAATCTTGAAAAGTGTTATAGAAGAAAAGGATCTTGGTGTTCTGGTTCATTAATTTCTTAAGCCATCCAAGTATTTTGCTGTTTGTAGTGGTACAACAAATACGATTTTAGCCTAGGTCGTATCTACAGAAAATAAATTTACAGAGGTTATAATTTCATTGTACTGGGCATTGGTTAGACCACATTTGGAGTATTGTGTTCAGCATTAGGTACCTTAACTTAGGAAGGACATTGAAATGTTGAAAAAGGTTACTAGGATTGTTACAATAATAATACATGTGATGAAAAAGTTGTCATGTAAATATTTGTTAAGATCTCAAAAATTATTTTCTCTTGGAAAAGGAAGAGTAAGAGGAAATCTTACTGAATTATTTAAGATTGTTAAAGAAATTGATAGTGTTGATTCATTACCTTTTTTCATGTTTAAGGGTGTGAATGGTAAGACTAGGGGTCAAAATATAAATTTTGGCAGGGTAGGAGTCATCTTCAGCTAAGAGAGCTTTATTTTTCTAACATAACAGTTGGCCTTTGGAATGGGTTACCTTCATATGTAATAGATGCAGTTAATTTAAAGGAAGGCTTGATAAATATTTGAATTATAGGGGATGGCTTCAAATTGTGTTATATAGTTTAACAGAGTGGATAAAATGGCCTAGATGGATCCACAGGTCCCTTGTTATCTTTACATTAATATGTATATTATTTGCCATACAAAAATTGTTTTATAATTTTATATACATTACCACCTGCCACTTTAAATTACGTGCATGTTTAAATGTAGAAAAGCCATGTAAAAAAAGAAAAACTAAAGTGCCTACCCAACCGCCATGATCTTGAATCCACGCTACAAGATGGTTACAGATATACGATGCAAGCCAATGGGCTAGGTTATTCACATGATAAAACCAACCATTTTCAATACAGGTAACTGCCATCTCACCAGAAAAAACGAAAAGAGTAACAATATTTATCCATGTAATACCTTCACTAAAAAGTTCATTACTCACGCCGAAAAACGCCGTCTTTAACGAAGTAGTTGTAATATCAAGTTTGCTACGTATTTCGGTGAATTGTTCACTAAAATGCTTGTCCATTTCCTTGCCAAGTAAGCGAATTTTCATAGAAACCTTATCTCCAGTTAGCTTGTTACTACAGTTAGTGATACTCGATGGAAAATACAACGAAGAATCTAACCCTTTAAGTCTTAAATGAAATTCTAAATAATCTGAAGCTAAATAAGTAACATATGTCTCACTTTCGAAATTCAAGGTATGTCTGTAACCGTTACAATCAGCCATAATCGTTAAATATATCAATAAAACAAATAAATACTATAAAATTCCCATATCCGCAAGACAGCTGAAGAGATATCACATCCACCACAAATTACACATTCCTCTTACCTCTACTACATATTTAATTAAGTAGTGTACAAACACCTCTGTATTTACTATTACTGGTATCAACAACGCCATTCAACGTTAAGTGTTTTTATAAAGAGTATATTAGCTACTAGCACGCATTCTTTTGACACGAAAAGGCTGTCCTTTCAGGACAAGCATTTTCAACAACAGAAATGAAAAATATTGTTAAATATTAAATATATTTAAAAATGGATTGTGTTTTTATTTGGCAAAATAAAATATTTTGGAAGTTCATAATTGACAATGAAGAATGAAATAAAGAAAACATCAAATATTAAATAATGAACACTAACCAAGTTTAAAATAAACACACCGAAATGTTGTTTAATAGATATGGCATAATATTACAGAAATATGTTGAAGATAATGACTTAATTTGCATTAGCAGCAACTTATCAACCCAGACCCATTATTGACGAATCTTAAGATATCTTAAATCTAGCAATAGTAATCACAAATATCTTCTCTCATATATCAAATTAAAGTCCAAGAAAACATAGGACGGGGCCATCTCCCAATATCCTTTAAATTATACCATAACACCAGCCAACTCATATATCAATCCATGAGTTTACAGAAACTAACTGGGGTGAGTTTAAAACATACATAGAAGCTATATTGATTAATATTAATAATCACACCTCTGACTCAGATAGATAAACGTGCGTTAGAACTAACTCTTCGTATTAAATCTGCTATCCTAGCCTAGGCTCTTGTTAGGAAAAAGAACTCATAACATAAATGCATGGCAATTAACACCTGAGATCCAACAACATATTGTTGCGTCAGCGAGGTCACGTGACTAGTATCACGCCACCTCTTTCTAGAAATATCCTG